CAAGAGTCGAGTGTTCCACCAACTGAGCCAGCCAGCGCCCCAGGGAAACAGCTCTTCAACTCAAAAATACCACCCTTCTATCTCTCTGGGGTGATCTGGCTTGAAATTCTTCAGCAGGCATAACAAGGACTGAAAACCTCAAATAAGACCAGGCCTAAAAAGACCAGGCAAAGAACATCACTGAATAAAGCAGGTCCGCTCTGAGAGACCACGGGGGTGGGGGGGGGTGGGGGGTGGGGTTAGGGGCTAGTGGCAGCTGTGGTATACTAGGGATACGTGCTTTGTCCAAGAATGGGCGGCAGCTCAGGCACCCCCAGACTGTCGTCGGATTTCCAGATCTTCCGATATTTCAAGGGAAACCAGCAATCTGGATTTTCATGTGATAGGTCTTTCTTTCCTATTTTTTATTTTTATTTTTTTAACGATTTTATTTATTTATTTGACAGAGAGAGACACAGCGAGAGAGGGAACACAAGCAGGGGGAGTGGGAGAGGGAGAAGCAGGCTTCCCACTGAGCAGGGAGCCCGATGCGGGGCTCGATCCCAGGACCCAGTGATCATGACCTGAGCCGAAGGCAGATGCTTAACAACCGAGTCACCCAGGTGCCCCTCTTTCCTATTTTTTTTTTATTAAAAAAAAATTTTTTTAAGACTTTATTTATTTGCGAGAGAGACAATGAGAGACAGAGAGCATGAGAAGGAGGAGGGTCAGAGGGAGAAGCAGACTCCCCGCCGAGCAGGGAGCCCGATGCGGGACTCGATCCCGGGACTCCAGGATCATGACCTGAGCCGAAGGCAGTCGCTTAACCAACTGAGCCACCCAGGCGCCCCCCTCTTTCCTATTTTTTAAAAAGCACTTTAATAAGGTGTATTTTGTAAATCATGTCATTCACTATAAAATTCAGTGATTGCTTTTTTAGTAAGTTTACCATCATTGGGCAACCATCACAGCGAATCAATTTTAGAACATTTTCATCATCCCAGTAGGATCCCTCATGTCTATTTCCTGTTAATCCCTGTGCTGCCCCTCCTCTCCCCACCCTGGCCCTCACCCCGGGCAACTACTCTTCTGCTTTCTGTCTCCAGAGTTTTGCCCTTTACAGATATTTCATATAAATGGGATCATACAAAATGTGGTCTCTGTGTCTGAGGGTAATGTTTTTGAGGTTCATCCACATTGTTGTGTTCTGTTTTTGTTTTTTTTTTTTTCCCTAAGTAGGTTCCATGCCCAGTGCAGGGCCCAACTCGGGGCTTGGACTCACGACCCTGAGATCAAGATCTAAGCTGAGGGGCACCTGGGTGGCTCAGTCGTTAAGCATCTGCTTTCGGCTCAGGTCATGATCCCAGGGTCCTGGGATCGAGCCCCTCATCAAACCCCGCATCAGGCTCCTTGCTCCATAAATAAATAAAATCTTAAAAAAAAAAAAAGATCTAAGCTGGAATCATGAGTCTCACGCTTAAATGACTGAGCCACTCAGGCACCCCCTGTGTTTAACATTTTTAAGAAAGGGGCAGATGATTTCTCAGAGCGGCTGCACGATTTAATATTCCCCTCAGAAATGACTGAGAGTTCCCATGTCTCTGTGTCCTCACCAACATTCGTTATTGTCTGTCTTTTTTTTTTTTTTTAAGATTTTTTTTTTTATTTATCTGACAGAGAGAGACAGTGAGAGAGGGAACACAAGCAGGGGAAGTGGGAGATGGAGAAGCAGGCTTCCCGCGGAGCAGGGAGCCCGACGCGGGGCTCGATCCCAGGACCCTGGGATCACGACCTGAGCCGAAGGTGGACACTCAAGGACTGAGCTACCCAGGCGCCCCTTGTCTGTCTTTTTGATTCTAGTCATTCTGGTGGGTGGGAAGTGGTATCTCATTATGATTTTGGTTTGCGTTTCCCCACCGGCTAATGGTGTTGGATAGCTCCTGATTTGTAAATGTTGGAATTCATTCAAATAAGAAAAAAATGCTTCAGGGGCGCCTGCGTGGCTCAGTCGTTAAGTGTCTGCCTTCAGCTCAGGTCATGATCCCGGGGTCCTCGGATTGAGCCCCACATCGGGCTCCCTGCTCAGCGGGAAGCCTGCTTCTCCCTCTCCCACTCCCCCCGCTTGTGTTCCCTCTCTCACTGTGTCTCTGTCAAATAAATAAATAAAATCTTAAAAAAAAAAAAAAAAAAGCTTCATATCAGCCCTGTGCAGATGGAACAAAACAGTTTAGAACAAAACAGGTTCATGTGCTGGAACCACCCTGAGTGGTTTGGACTTATGACCTAGACTGTGCAAAACAATGGTCTGTGAACTTTCTCTTTTGGGGGCAAAGCGGCCTAAGCTGCCAGCAAAAATTACTATGGAGAAAGAGGGGAAAGGTCTCTCTCACTTGCAATGAACTTGTAGACTAAGAAACAAGTTTCAATCTATTATATTTCATAATGCCTCTTCCCCCCCGCCAAGCACATGATCCTGCTACATATCCACTGAATGAGTCTTTGAAGTATCCATTCATATCCCCCCCTTTTTTTTAAGATTTTTATAATTTATTTATTCATGAGAGACAGACAGAGGCAGAGGGAGAAGAGCAGGCTCTCCACGGAGCAGGGAGCCCGATGCGGGACTCGATCCCACGACCCTGGGATCACGACCTGAGCTGAAGGCAGACGCTTAACCGACTGAGCCACCCAGGCATCCCCATTCATATCCCCTTTTTAAAGATGACATTAAGGAATTGGTCAAAGGTTAAACACCTAGTAATGGCAGAGATGGATTCAAATCCAGGTCTCCCTGGTTCAAAATCCTGTGTTTTCCTCACCAAATGGCAGCAGATTCTGGGATAGAGCTCCACGTGGTAAGACTGGACTCCAAGGAGCCTGGCTGGCTGGATGAGGGAGGTAGAGAGGGAAGGGATATTGGAACCATTGGAGAAGAAGGAATCAGGGGTTTCAAGGCTGGTTTCATTAACAGACAAAGGGAAGTTGGGGAGAGGGTGAGTTTGAGTTTGGGTGGTGGGATGAGGTGGAAATGGGAAGAAAAGAGATAGGAGGCTTACTGCTTTGCAATTTGCCTTTCACCCAGGTGGAGATTTCCAGCAGGCTGTTAAAAACATCGGGCCCAGGTGTTGGGAGAGTCACCAGGACTAGATCTACATTTGGGGACATCCTCTTTATGATTGATTTCTCATTAAGACTAACATCTTTGTGATATTTAATTCTGATGAAGTTTCCTGCCCTCTCCTTCTGATGATCCACTGAGTTTGTTTTCCGATTGTGAGAAACCACGGAGTTGATGGCTAATAGGGCTCTCTGTGTGTGGATGGATGCTCTAGGCATGGAACACCGCATGGGGAAATGCCCAGCAGCTGACAAAGCTGAGCTAGATTACAGAGGGAGTCTTTGGTCCTCTCAGAACACACTTAAAGATTCAGAAGAGGAGTATCATTCCCGTATTTTGTAGAGTTCACTTGTACTCCATGTGCAGACCGCATGAAGGGCAGATCTCTTCATGGAGCCAAGTCACAAGACACCTGGACAAGGGGCAGCTTACCCCAGCGGGCTGGTGGGGGGTGGGGGACCAGATGCACTCTACGAGGACAAAGGACACAGACACAGGACCTGATTCCGACTTCCCCAGGAAGGACTCTGCACCGAGCTAGCTGCCTCTTAGAGCCTTCTCTGAATTCCACCAACCCGTCCTTATCATTTCCTGCTTTGTGTTTTGTATTTTTTTTTCTTTCTTCACTTTTTACCACACTGGAAGTTTCCGAGGCTTACCCACTTATATCACACGCACTAAAGCGCACCCAATTCCCGCATTTAAATAATTGCATTTTGCTGTAAAAACTTTTGAAAGCGCTTTTGATGATGCGCAGTTTTTCTAAGAATAATTCCTTTTGATCTTGTGACTTAAACTTTATTATATTTATAGGTAATTATGTAAGAGTCCTGTTGCCGTTGACTAGATTCTGCAGATATTTCATTAAATATCTTTTCACTTCAATTCTTCCAGTTTCCTTTCCTTATTTTAGCCGCCCCCAGTTCTCAAACCTTTTCTAAGGCCTTCGAGGAGCTCACAGGCCCTAGGGGCTACGACAGCTCTGCAAAACCTCCTCACAGGCCCCTCCACGTAGGGAGCTCCGTGTGATGAACGAACGAATGAAGGAAGGAAGGAACGAATGAATGAGGCAACGAAGTCCTCTCCCCAAGTCTTCCCTCCCAGGCGGGGTCGCCTCCCGTTCTCGGCTCAGCCAGGAGCCTGGGTAAGGAGGCCCCCCCCCCCCCCCCCGCAAACACCCAAACTGCACCAACGGAGGAGGGCGTCGGCGCCCGGCGCTCCGCCGACCTCGGCAGGGTCAGCCCCGCGGCCCGGGAGCGCGGCCGGGCGCCCCCACCCCCCTCGCGGAGCCCGTGCGCATGGGCAGAGCCGCAGCGAGCCCCGCCCCCTCCCCGCCGCAGGTGAGCCGCAGAGCCGCGGCCCCCGCCCCCCGCCGCTCCGGGGGTGACGTAAGGCCTCTGGACCGCGCTCCGGCCCCGCCCCTGCAGGCGGCGCGGGGGGCCCGCGGCTCGGCGGTGGCAGCCGGTGCCGCCGCGGGACACGCCGGCTGCGGCAGGGAGAGGGGGCGGCGAGGCGCCGGCCGAGGCGCGTCCGGGCGCAGCGCGGGGCTTCCGCCGCGGCGCACCTGCCCCGGCGGCCGCACGGCCGAGGCCCCTGCGGGGTCCGCAGCCGCTGCCCCGCGGGCTCGCCGGCGCCCGGCCGGCCTCGGTTGTCCGTCTCCGCGGGCGCCGGCCAATCGCCCGCCGCTGCCCCGGCCGCACCTCCCGGAATCCATGACGGGCGTGCGGGGCGGCCTATGAGGTTGGGGCCCCGGCGGCCTGGGCGGGGAGCGGGAGCCAATGAGCGTGCTTGCAGGTGGGTGGGGGAGCGGACCTCGGGAAGGTAGCTTCGTTCGGGTTGCTAACGTCTTCGCTTGGAGATGGGCGCGCAAACGGACCAGTGGGTCTGGGGGCGGCGGTGACGGGCGTGGAGCTGGCCCAATGAGGGTGGGAGTGGGTGGGGCAGCCCCGAGCAGCAGTGCTAAAGGAGCCCGGCGGAGGCAGCGGTGGGCTTGGGGCTGAGGGGCCGGATCTGTGGTCGCGGCTGGGGACGTGCGCCCGCGCCACCATCTTCGGCTGAAGGTGAGAGGTGCGGCTGCCCGGGTTCGAGCGCGGCGGCGGCTGGCGGGGGGACGGCTGGGGGGGAGGGAAGGGTCCCGGGCTGGGAGGCGGGGGGCGGGGGGGACTCTGGAGGGCAGGAGCGGAGCCGAAGCGGGAGCACGGGGACGCGCGAGGGGGCTCTGGCTGGAGGGCTTGTACTGCGGGGCCGGAGATTGGTGCGGGGACCGACCCTGGGGAGGCAAGGGGGAAAGATAGCCAACCCCAGTGGGTGGAGAGACCTCTGGAAGGGTGGGGAGTGGGGTCCTGGAGCTTGAGACCCCTGCCGGGATCGGGGTCTGGGTGTGCTGGGGGACGACCCCTGGGGGGCTGGGGATGGAGATCGGAGGGGGGTAGGGATGCAGGGACCTGGTCCTCGGCGTGTGAGGTCCGTGGGGCGCGGGGGTCGGGGAGGCCTAGTGCCCTGGTGGGGGTCTCGGGGCTCCCGGGACGGGAGGGAGCCCTGGGGCGGGCCGGGAAGCGCGACCCGGGCGTGGGTGGGGGGCGCCGGACAGGAAGGGCCGGCCCCTGGGTGGGTTCCCGGGCGGGTTAGGCCGGCCGGGCAGCCCGGGTGCGGTCGGGGCTCCTCAAGGCTCCCAAGGCGGGCGACGCTCCCGGCCCCGTGGGGAGGGGGAGACCCGAGGGCAGGGGCTCCTCCGCACGGCCGGGGCAGCGCGCGGCGGGCGAGGGTCTCAGCCGGCCGCCGGCGCGCGGAGGCTGGGCTCCGGAGGAGCTGGGGGCGGGAGGGCGGGCGGGGGCCGCCGGGGGCCGGGGCCGGACGCCCGGCGAGGCCCGGGCGGGGTGGGGGGCGAGGCGGGAAGTGTGGCGGGGGCGCGCTGCGGCGGGGCGGCCGCGCGGGGGAGGGTCAGCTCTCGCCTCGGGATCCCTTTATTGTGTAAGCGATCCGGGCACGGCTCGCCGCGGACTCCCTGGCTGGCCTTGTGCAGCTGGGGTCACACCCTGGTCCCGTGAAATGGGACTGGAATGGGGTCGGGGCGAAGTGGGAGCCGCGGAGTCGGGGCGTTGGCGGGCGCTTTGTGGGCCCGCGGGGCGCGGGTGCGGCCCGGGGACCCGGGGGGGCCCCCAGCCTGGCCGGCCTGGGCGCCGGGGCCCGCGGAGGGAGGCTGGGGTGGTGTGGCCTCTGCCTGTGACCGTTATCTGTGTCTTCGGGCCTCTGCGGCTCCCTGCTAGCCCACTGCGGTGGATGCAAGGGGGTGGGGTGGGGTGGGGTGGGGGAGAGCAGGCGGGGTAGACCCAGCCTGCCAACGAAACAAAGCCTGCTGTTTTCGCTGAATAATATAATATACTAAATGTAATACTTCGGCTTTGCCGAGATTTTGTTTGTTTTTTTTTTTTTAACATTGGAAGTGAGTCGGGCTTCATCATTCTCCGTAGTCTCTCAGTCTGGAAAACTTTAATCTATTTATTTTATTTCCTTCCTCGGTCTGCCCTGACCCAAGTATTCTTGTAGTCCCATGCTTTTGGCGTTGAAGTGTGCCCTGTCTGGTCTTGGATGCTGAAAAAGTGGCCATTTTATTTGATGCATCTCTCGACTCAGGCATCTTAAATTCGGTTGTTCCCCGGCCTTATCTGGAGACAGCATATGGTGTAATTGTGCGATGTATAGCGTGAGCTTTTGACAGCGAAGGGATGTGACCCCAGAGGTTGGCTTTTTATTTGGGCTCCTTGGGGAAATCATCACAATGAAGACAGACGACAGACTGGATGGGAGAGCAGATGAACGAAATTCTGAAGGGCACATTGCACGGGAGGGGGGTGGGGGCGGAGACCCAGTGCTTCAGCGGGTTATGGGTACTTTCTCATCCTATAGGAGGGATTGAAATTCCTAGCGTTGTGTCCACATTTTAGAAAGATTTTATACCCAGCCTGAAGATGTTCACTGAGAGATGGTGTGGGCCATACAGAGTGGTAGTTCCCTTTTGCGTTTGGTGTGTGTTTGCGCTCATTTGGCTGAGGTGCATTGGGGTAAATTAATAGGTTTGCACGTCCCAGGCATGTAAGTGACCGCAGTGGTGATGGTAAAGCGAAGTGGGACGATTCTGTCGTAGTTGCTCTGTTATAGAGGGAGGTGCTGTCTTGGATAACTTAGCCATCATTTTTGTTTAGCTAGTTATTCACAAGATATTCACAAAATTCCCGTGTTTTCCCCTCTCTGTACCCAACGTAGGTGCTGGGAGGCAGCTGAGAAGTTTGCTGGGTGGCATTTCGCTGGAAGTAAAAAATGGCTACGGGGGTGGGGGGGACAGAGCCCCAGGGGTGTGTGTGTGTCTAAAACCCATGAAGGGGGTGGGGCTCTGGCTCCGTAAGGGGCTCCTTCATATACAGATAAATGACTTAGCTATAATTAGACACTCATTTCAAATGACACCAAAAACCTTCAGATTATCTTTCCTCCGTCTCCGGCAAAGAACTTGTTCTTTATTCCCTTTTTTCCAATAGAGAGGTGTTTTTTTCTATTAAATGTAAAGCCTTCATCAGATTGTGCTGGTGTGTTCAATGCTGAGCCTCCACTCATGACATTGTAATCGATAGGATTTTTATTTAGTGGAGAGGCATCGAGGAGTGCGCTCCTCGCCCTTCAAAATCCACGTCCCCCCCACCTGCCATTGTTGTGGTATGCATTCCTGCGGGAACTCTAGGGTTAGCCCTAGCTTTGCTACTGGTGACCTCCGTGACCTTGGGCTGGTTATTGGCTTTCTCTCTACCTTGGGTTCCTCATCTGTAAAATAGAGATATTAATAGTACCTGCCTCACAGGGCTGTTGTGAGGACTGAGCTGATAAAGGTAAACTGCTTAGAATAGCGCCTGTCCATAATTAATGATACAGAACAGTATTTGCTTTTTTTAAAATTGTGGTATTTCCCCCCCATGCCGTGAAGTGAGGCATTTGGGAGTGGTTCACTGTTAAATACCAGAATTATCAAGATCAGGTACCACATGTACAACGGAATGGAAAAAAATACAACATATCTGGGGATCACACGTGAAGAGTTAAAACTGAACAAAACCTTTCCACTGGCCTCCCGAACTCTTATCAAACCAAACAGCACTTGGAATACCTGCGACCTGCTAAGCCCCCTGGTACCATGCAGGGGAGGGCAAGAAGAATCTCAGAAGAGCAGTCGAAAATGTTCGGAGGGGGAGGATTAAGTTGCCAGATTGACCTGAAAAGAACAGCTCCGAGGGTGGCATTTGGGTCAGGATTGGAAGGAGTGGTAGGTGTTTGGTTGTGGAGAAGTTGAGGCTCACTGTGGGGGTAGGGACCACGCATGGGAGGTTTAGTCAGGAGGTGGAGAGCCCCCCTCCCCCCATGAGGACCCAGGAGCCTGCTAGGTGCCCACCAGATAGCCAGGAACAGGAAACTGCCCTCTCAGTGTCTGATGAGTCGTAGAAAGCTCTGGAAAAGTAAAAAGTAAAAGTAATTTGTAATCTCACTACCCAGTGAAGACCCAATAACTATTTGTTCCTTTTTTAATATTTATTTATTTATTTTACTTATTTTTATCTGTTCCTTTAAAAAAAAAAAAACACGAGCATGTGTAATTTCCCCCCCACAAAGCCCGGAGCATTTTGCAATTATGTTTTTGTGACCTATTGGTTTCTTTCCCTTAAATTACAAGAATTTACTCACCTAGGAAAAATACTGATAAATTTTAAATGTACCAATTTGGTGAACTAATTTTTAAATATATCATTTACTTTTTTTTTTAAAGGCCTGCTGCAGAAATGACCTGTTGAGCTACTCTAATTTATAGCCATCCACCAAATTTAAGCATATAATTACATGCCCAACGTAAAATTAAAGAAATGTGTGCGCGCACGCCTCCTGACAGCAAGACCTCTTCCGAGGTGTCATAGGAGATATTCAGTTCCTGTTAATGACAAGAGTAACTTGTTACCATATTTTGTTATTGTGGGGTATTTTCTGTTTTAAAAGGCCGTCAATCGTAAAGGCGGAATGTATGTCCTCTTGTCTGTGTCCAGATTTATCTAGGACGATTCCCACCTCAGAGCCATGCCTCCCTTCTGAGCAGTTTGCAAAGTGTAAGTTTGGAAAAACAGAAAGTGTGTTAATAGTCTTATGAAAACCAGTCCCTAGAGGTAATGATGGGCTTTGGAAACCATTCTTCAGAATGTACATGTGCCCGGGGAATATTTTCTGAATCGCCTCCCCCCGCCACGAGAATGCCTAAGACGGCAAATACAAGTTTAGTTAATAGAAATAGAAATAGAAAATATGTTAGCCTTTTTATTTATGGAAGTCTTAATGTTACCTCTTTGGTGATTTTTTGGGCTTCGTTTTGTTTTGTGATTTTTTTTGTTTTATTCAAGTCCATCATTTTAAAAAGATTAGCATATCCTTTAAATCAGGTTAGGAATTAGTCTAAAACATTGGTTTTCAACCTTTTTTTTTTTTCTACCCCAGCATACCTGCTAACAAAATTGGCTCACCATGGCAACCAGAGACCATGGAGTGATGGTTCTCAAAGTGTGGTCCCAGGACCAGCAGCCTCAGCTGCATCTGGGAACTTGGTTAGGAATGCAAATTACCAGGCTCTGCCCCAGACTCTACTGAATTGGAAACTCTGGGGATGGGGCTTCAGTCTGTGCTTCTGTAAACTCCCTACGTGCTGCCCATGCACACACCAAAGTTTGAGAACCTTGCCCTCGGCCGTGTATGTTTATAATGCATTACATTATAACAAATACTCCCTGAAGTATACATTTTTATACCATTTCAGTGACTTCATGGAGCTTGACATTTGTCTGCGGACTCAAGGCTAAGAGCCTTGTAACAACTTTGGACTACTTTATTTTTTTTAAAGATTTTTTTTTTTAAGTAATCTCTGTACCCCACGTGGGGCTCGAACTCATGATCCCGAGATCAAGAGTCGCATGCCCTTCTGACCGAGCCAGCCAGGCGCCCCTGGGCTATTCTGTGATTAGCCTTGCAGCCTTCTGTCTTTCGCCTGCTAAGAATCCCCATCATTCTGGGGGTGGTGGGGTTGGAGACAAAAGCTGGGAAGATGTGAGAGAGCAAAACTAGTTACTCCTTGGCTTCTGGCATTGACTTGCATGAGGTCATGGAAACCGTGCTTCTGAGATTTGTAATAACCTGGAATTTGGGGTGATAACAAAAGTGTTTAATGATGGTATCGGATTCCGAAAAGATATTGTCAGGCAGGAGTGATGAGTCACCTGGGGAAGGTGAGTGAGGACTGTAATGCTGTCCTTGGATCCAGAAAGTCAGTTGCATGGGTATAGGACGAGACTGAGAGTAGTATGCATGAGGCTGCAGCCGATGGCCGATGGCAAGCGAGTTCTCAGTAGACCAGTTAGGTCTTGAGACACATGAATTGCGAACACCCCAGAAACAGTGCTTTTCTCCACGGGGCCTAGGTTAGTGGTTCTTGTTCTTCTGCCCGGGTCATACCGTCTCTGGAACATGGAGTTTGCTCCTGGGCCCCACGGCCTTCAGGGGCACACGTGGGCGCACCAGAGTCTGTCTCGTGGCAAGAGAGCAGGGTAGTGGAGTGATGAATGATGGGGCGCTGCTGGAGAGGAGCTGGGGAGCAGCCGGGGGGGCGGGAGCAGCTGCGGGGAGGGGGGGGTGAGGCCTCCAGCTCCAGTCGCATGCTTGAGTAGCTGTCCCGGGAAGCCAAGTCACGCTTGTCCACTGTGGCATCGTTGGATCGCATTAAGACCATACGGGCCCCAGAGAAGCTGGGGGACCGAGTTGGGGGTGTTTGTATGGAAGAACTTTGAGTCTCTTGTCTGAAGGCAGAACGGGAGGCCCATGGAGACCTGAGGCTTTAGTCCCCCGGCCCCGGGCCCCAGCCATGCATTGCATTTCGTAGCTACATCCTCCTGGCCACACTGATTCCATCACCCCCTCCTGGACCTTTTATTATGCATCTTTGTTTTCTTTGTCCTCTTTACCGTTTGCCTCCTTAACTTGGGTTTAATTTGTGGTGAGGGTGCAAGAGGGGAAGAAGAGGGGGGAAAATTTTAGTCCCACCTGGATCCCTGCCTTTCTCCCCTGCTTGTTTTTCAGCCCTCGGTAACTGAGGGCACGTCTTGCGCGGTCTTTAGACAACCAGGGGCATAATTTGTGGTCACCCTTGAAATTTACCCTGGACGCTCGGTCAGTACCCCGGCTCCTCGACTAAAGGTTATGCTTTCTGTTTACCAGAGGTTTTCTGTTTTTGTTTTTGTTTTTGTTTTTTTTTAAATTTTTTATTTATTTGAGAGAGAGAGAATGAGAGAGAGAGCACATGAGAGAGGGGAGGGTCAGAGGGAGAAGCAGACTCCCCGCCGAGCAGGGAGCCCAATGTGGGACTCGATCCCAGGACTCCAGGATCATGACCTGAGCCGAAGGCAGTCGCTTAACCAACTGAGCCACCCAGGCGCCCCTACCAGAGGTTTTATCTTAAGTTCCCGGCAAGAGTAAAAATCTGTGCATCATTGTATATTTTTAAACATCTAACCTTGCCCTCCTCCTCCTCCTCCCCTAGAGACAATTGCTCGTGGATCCTCCTGTTAGCAATGGCCCAGAGAACTGGACTCGAAGACCCAGAGAGGTACCTCTTTGTGGACAGGGCGGTCATCTACAACCCTGCCACCCAGGCCGATTGGACGGCTAAAAAGCTAGTGTGGATTCCATCCGAGCGTCACGGTTTTGAGGCAGCAAGTATAAAAGAGGAGAGGGGAGATGAGGTTATGGTGGAGTTGGCAGAGAACGGAAAGAAGGCGATGGTCAACAAAGACGATATTCAGAAGATGAACCCGCCCAAGTTTTCCAAGGTGGAGGATATGGCAGAATTGACTTGCTTGAACGAAGCTTCTGTCTTACACAACCTGAAGGACCGCTACTATTCAGGACTGATCTATGTGAGTACACCCTGCTGACTGCTCACGGGAATTAGTGTCAATTACATGTGCCACCAGAGTCCAGTGAGATTGGGGACTACCCCCCCCTCTGTTTAACGTCACCGTTCGTCTTAAAGATAGAGAGATTGTGTCTTGCTTACTGAGTCTTGCCCCACTTTACATCTTCCCATGTAATTTTACATAATCTGGTGTGCAATTAAACTTACGAACGTGGTAGTTGAAGACTTCGTAGCGGTTTGCTGGAACATGATACGATGGGGAGAGCACGTGGCGGGAAGACCGGGGAGCTGGGTGTGGGGTAAGAGTTGCACGAATAGCAGGACACAGACGGCACACGGATGCCCAGGTGTGTGGCGTGGAACCAGTGGTGAGGATTCAGCGAAGAGCAAGAGCATCGGGGTCCCCGGGCGCGGGCAAGTGGGAAGGATGGACACTGAGGTTTTTCAGAGGAAACCGTTCAGAGCGGGATTGAGGCTGGGGTTGTCCTGTGCGTGGTGGTTGACATGTGTATTCTTGTCATTGGCGATGCCACTGCCCTTGTGGAAGAAATTATTGAAAATACCAGGGGACAAGGGAGAAGGAAAAATGCAAGCCAGATACAGGAAAACTCTAGAATGACAAAATAGGTTTGAAGGGATGGTACACGCAGGTAGCAGCGATTTAAAAGAGGTCATAGAGGCCTTTGATGGAGAATGAAAACAAGCAGAGAGAAGAGTTGACGTACTGGTCTGAATTTGGAAAAGAGCGGTTGGGGCTCGCGATCATTCAGAACCTCTGCAAATCAGAACCAGTTTCCCCATAGAAATTAGCGTAGTTAGTGACTATTTATGGAGCACCTACTGTGTTCTAGGTGCTGGGAGAGTGTGATGAACAGGACAGGCCAGGGCCCTGCCTTCCTGACACATCCTATAAGGCAATGAAGCCGGACTATGGGATAGAGTAAGTAGGGGAACGGCTCTCCGCAGTGGGCCCGTGAAGGGCTCTTGGAGAAGGTAGCGTTAGAGCTGGAATCTTTGGCCAGGGGAGGATCTGAGAACTCAATAGTTCTTCTGTGACCTTTGCTAACGTAGGCACGGTTAAGCCTGATGGCCTCTCGTTTTTGTTTTTCCCTGTGAGGTCAGGTGCAAAGTGAGTAAGAGGCACCAGGGTTGGGAAGGTGGCTTGAAAAGGAAAAGGTTTGGAGAGGAGAAGCCACGAGTAAGGACATCACAGGGGAGCGGCCTTGAGAACCCGGCCGAGACCGCAGCGTGGGATGTGTGGGGGTGAGGGAGCACGATGGGTCCGATCACCGGCTGACCTCTCAGATTTGAGCCAGGGGTGAGTTTTGGGTGCCGCCTGGTGCTAGAAATGGACTCCGCCAGGGTTGTGGGGAACCGCAGTGTGGAAGGGAGCCAGGCACCCTTTCTGCCAGCTTTTTTACCTTGACCCCCCATTTTGGACCTTGCGGGTTCCTGCAAGGAGGAGAGAGAAGAGAAATACAAAGGGGAAGGAGATTGTGGGCAAAAGAGAGGGAATAGAAGAAAAGACACTTTAGTTCATTTGTAGCCATGCCTCAAGATGATTCTAAGACTTTGCAAGTGTCTTTTATTGAGTTTGTTTGATTTTTTTTTTTTCCCCAGCTGAACTCGGGGACCCCAAATGATGTCTCAGGTTCTCTTCAAAGCATGGCCCCCCCCTTACTCTTTACAGAAGGACAGTCTGAGTTCTGGAAGCATTAAGGTCGCAGCAGAGCTGGGAATTTGGGGCAGTGGTGTGTGCAGTTAGTGGGGTGGAGGAAGGGTTCCCACCCAGGACTGGAGTTGGAGCACTTGACTGTAAAGAATCCTAGTAAGAGGGCGCCTGGGTGGCTCAGTTGTTAAGCGTCTGCCTTCGGCTCAGGTCATGATCCCGGCGTCCTGGGATCGAGTCCCGCATCGGGCTCCCTGCTCCACGGGAAGCCTGCTTCTCCCTCTGCCTCTCTCTCTGTCTCTCATGAATAAATAAATAAAATCTTTAAAAAAAAAAAAAAAAGAATCCTAGTAAGAGAGTGGGGCTACAAGTAGCCACGATCGGGAGGGATGTGTACTGGGCGTTGGGATTCACCCGTCAGGTGAAGTGAAAAGTCAAGGTGCCATGTTGTAGACACCATAGTACCTTGTGGGGGTGGGGGGAGCCTTTGGACACATTTCTAGAGATCAGCTCTAACGGATGTTCATTTAAATAAGTTACTTTGGTAACAGGTTTACTTTCGTTAGTTCCTTATATTTTTTTGGGATGGATTCTCCCTGGCTTCCCAACTTCTCAGGTCATTAATTTTCATCCTCTTTTCCTAATAAAAGCATTTGAAAACTGTAAATGTCTCTCCTCTAATACGATTTTAGCTCACCTCACACATTTGGATGCGTGGTGCTTTTATTACTCGGTCCTACATATTTTCTATTTTCTGTTATTTCTTCTTTAACCTATGAACCGTTTAAAAGGATACTTGAAAAATTTCTAAATGTCGGGTTTTTTTAAGTTATCTTTTTATTACTGATTTTTATTTTTATTTTTTCAAAGATTTTATTTATTTCTGAGAGAGCAGAGGGAAGGGCAGAGGCAGAGGGACAAGCAGACTCCCTGCTGAGTGTGGAGTTGACACTGGGCTTGATCCCAGGACCCCGAGATCATGACCTGAGTCAAAACCAAGAGTCAGATGTTCAACCGACTGAGCTTCCCAGGCCCCCCTTATTCCTGATTTTTAAATGAATTGTGTTGCATTCAAAGAATGTAGTTCACATAATATCATTACTTGTTTTTGTTGAGACTTGCTGTGTGCAGTGTGATGTCCGCTTTGATGGGCATTCTCTGTGTAAAGAGCATTAATTAATTCTGTTATTGTTGGTTATGGGGTTCTGTGTGTGGCCATCAGAGGAAGCTTTTTAATTCTGTTTAAATCTTCCTCGCTAATTTTTGCCTGCTTGGTCTATTAATTACTGAGAAGTATCTTAAAATCCCCCGGTGTATTTCATCAACTAAGTATGCATCACTAACCAATGTAGTTTATTTTTTCCTGTTGATGAACTTTTATATGAATGAATGAGTCTCACCTTATATAACCTTGGTGTCTGCTTTTTCACTCAGCATTACATTTTTAAGGTTCGTCTGTATTGCTTTGTGTTGGTATAATTCAGAAGTTCTCAAAGTGTGGCCTGTGGGCCCTCAGGGTTTCCCTGAGACTCTTCCAGGGGATCCATGAGGTTTTAACTGTTCTCATGATGGTGTGAAGGCGTGATTTCCCCTGTCCGCTGTCAGTGTAGGTACTAATACTGGTGGGGAAAACGCGCGTGTCTTACCGTGAAAAGAGGCAGTGACCCCAGGCTCTAGTAGTGGTCGTTTTAATCGTTTCACATGAGAACGTCCTTGAGAAAGCAGGAGAAATGATTGATTTTATGAAATGTCAACCCTAGATTACACGTCTTTTTAATATACTGTGTGAGGGGCGCCTGGGTGGCTCAGTCGGTGAAGCGTCTGCCTTCAGCTCAGGTCATGATCTCAGGGTCCTGGGATTGAGCCCTGCGTCGGGCTCCACTCTCAGCAGGGAGTCTGCTTGTCCCTCCGCCCCCCCCCCCCCCCCTCGGCACATGCTCTCTCTTTCTCTCTCTCTCAAATAAATAAATAAATAAAATCTTAAAAAAAAAAATTAGGATTTAGGGAAATTTATATTTACCACCGGGAACGTGACAACATTGTCAACACTTGAAACCCTTGCTGATGAGAGCGATGGTGACATTAATGACTGTTTTGTTTTTTTTTAATGTCATAGAGTGAAATGTCATCATTTGGAAGACTTGCATAATTCATTGAGCCAGTGTTTTCCAGACGATGTGTACATTGTTACAAAATCACGCATGGGCAAAAGCTTCTTTCCACACGCAAGATAAGCCAGTGGATTTTGATGTACATAACAGTATGAAAGTTCATCGGCAGGATTTCAGATGCCACATCGCATCAGATCTTTAAGAAATTCTCACTTGTTGTGTTTTGGTGTAGCATCGAGGAGGTTAGATCCACGATTGCTTGGAAAGGCAGTTAAACCACTTTTCCAACTAAATATCTGTGTAAGGCTAATTTTCTTCATACGCTTCAACCAAGACAACATAGCACAACAGATTGAATGCGAAAACAGATACGAAAATTGAGCTATTTTTGTTAAGCCCGATAATAAAAAAGATTTGCAAAAATATAAAACAGCACCGCCCTTCTCGCTTTCATTTCAGAAAACGGTTATTTTTCGTGAGAAATGTTATTTATGTTAACCTGTGTTGTTATTTTAAAATGAATATGCATTTGTAAAAACTTGTTTATATATATAGTTATATAAAGCAAAATGTCTTTGGAGTCTTTAATGGTTTCTAAGAGGGTCACAGGGCCCTGAAATTAAAAAGGTTGAGTTACTTCGTTCCTCGTTATAGCGTACTGCTCCCCTGGAAGCTTCTTGACCCACTTTATCCACTCAACTAGTTCTGGGCATTTGTGGACACAGGCATGCCTTTCTGTATGGTGGGCGACGGCTGGAAATCCTGGGTGGTCACGTATGATCTCTCTAACTCATGCATTCAGCTTTTCTGGGTAAAGCCTGATGTAGTCAGATTCCAGCAGGAAACAGAAGGCCCTCGAGAACGGGGTGGTTTGAGAGCTTAACGAGGGGGCAGTTTACCAAACGGGGTGGTTTGAGAGCTTAACGAGGGGGCAGTTTACCAACACGTGGGCAGAGTTCAGCAAACAGTTGCGGGCTAGGGGAGTGTCCTGGCGTGGTGATGGCCGGGCCCTTGCTACTGCCCCATCTTTAGAGGCAAGATGGGCCCGAGCTGCTGCCTCGGCTGGGGGAGGGTGGCTGTGTGGGGGGGCCTTCCCCATATTTGCTGGGGCCTCCTGACCACCAACGCGGAGGGGCCTTGGGGGGGTGGGCAGAGGTCCTGACTTCACTCTCCTCCCTCCCTTGGTCTGAGAACGGAAAGTGATGGTGTCTTTCTTGGGGT